TTCTTAGTCTTTTACAGTATTTCTCTTTTTGTGACTGACTAATTTCACTCAAGATAATGTCCTCAAGGTTCACCCATGTTATGCAGTGGCTTACAGCTTCCTTGTTATTCTTCAAGGTAACATAATATTCCATTGTGTGTATGTACCACAGTTTGTTTATCCAGTCTTCAGTTGATGGGCACTTTGGCTGTCTCCATCTTTTTGCTATTGTAAATAATGCAGCTATGAACATTGGTGTGCCTATATCTTCTCGTGTTGGGGCTCGTTTTTCTTGTGGGTAAATACCAAGTAGAGGAATTGCTGGATGATAAGGTATTTCTATTTTCAACCTTCTGAGGAAACGCCACATTGCTTTCCAGAGAGTTTGGATCATTTGCAGTCCCACCAGCAATGCAGGAGTGTCCCAGTCTCGCCACATCCCCGCCAACATTTATTGTCCTCTACATTTTTTATCTTTGCTGTTATTGTTGGTGTGAGATGATATCGCATTGTTGTTTTGATTTGCATCTCTCTAATGGTTAGTGATCGTGAACATTTCTTCATATGTTTGTTGGTTGCCTGGATCTCTTCCTTAGTGAAGTGTCTGTTCAGGTTCACTGATAACCTTTTGATATCAACTTGTTGATTATTCTGAGGCATGCCTACCTCCCTAGTGTTCTTGTTCTCCTTATAGATTTGCCCATTTTTTGGCTGAAAATTCAGCCATGGGGGTGAATTCCGTTCTGAATCTAAAGATGACTAAGAGCCATAGTCTAAGGGTTCCATCAGCCTCTATCCAATCAGTAAACTTGGGGTGTGTGTGTGTGTTAAAGATTTTGAGTTTTGTTCCTTATTTGTGCTCCCACACTATCCAGGACTTCCTAATGTAATTCTTTCAGAACAGGTGGTGGTAATAGCCAGGCACCATCTTGTTCTGATCCCAGATTCATGGAGATTTGTGTTCACAGGATCCATTAGTTCATTAGGTTAATTATCTCATGGATCTTCGATTTTCTTCACTTCGCTCAGCTCCACACACCAAAGGACCAATAGTTGCAACTTAAATGGCAGTCTCTGTGCTTTTAAGACCCCAGTCGCTACTCACAGAGTAGGATGCAGAACATTGCCTTGTGAACAATACTTTGCCAATTGACCTTGGTGATCCCCAGCACATGGTCCTGAGCCTCCACACCCTCTGACTCCTTCCCTCAGGTGTTTGGTTATGCCTGAGACTTTATCACGTTACCTTTTGTATGTTCCATCACACTCATGGAAATATTTGAAGAAATATTTGAACAATACACATGTGTTGTTGTTGTGTGCTGTTGAGTCAGTTCTGACTCATAATGACTTTGCATAGTGTTCCCAAGGGGCTGCTGGTGGGCTTGAACCACTGACCTTGTGGTTAGCAGTCCAATGCTTATCTTACAGCACCACACCAGGAGTCCATAATGCATGTGTAGAAATAGTAAATGTCATGAGTCAACATGAAGTGAACTTCATCTTAAATTAATACCACAACGTGGCTCAGACAGTCTTGCTCCAGCTCTCAGCTCTGTCTCCTGGGTCACATGGCCTCCTAGAGTAGTCACTGACAGGGAAACTGAGGACTGGAGGATCACAGTGACCCAGTTTACTCTAGGGGATGCTGGGAAATACAGTCTCCCTAGGTCCAAAGGAAGAGAAAATGGTACACACAGCGCTATCTCTCTTCAGAGCCTCCTTTCCGATGACTTCTCTTCTGCATCCAGGCCCAGCCAAGAGGTCCAAACACCCTTGTTTTCTGTGTTCCTTTCCACAACCCTTGTTCCCAACAAGCAGCCAACCAATCCCCTGGGGTATTAATAGAACACACACTCAAGAGTTTGTTCTCCCACGAGCAGTTGATTTCTTATAGAGGGCTGTTCAACATTCAAAGGCCAAAGGAATGAACATACAATGGTTGGATTCTAGACCCAGTAGGGACCATGTGAGATTTGAACAATCATGTCATCTCTTCTTGCCTCCTTCAAGCAACATGCAGCCTGAAGGGGACTGAGCCTACCTCCCCTCCCCTTCCCATCTCTATCCCTACAGTTGATAAAGAGAAACACGTTGGACTAATGGGTTTGGCTAGAATGACCTCTCCTTAAGAAGGTAAGTTGAGGGTATTATAAAAGAACATGATTTGTAGCCATTGCTCTGAAATACCAGGTCCATGAGGTTCTTATGCAGAGCTCCTCTCCTGCCTATCCCTTCCACCCCCACAGCAAGATCCCACTGTTCTTTCAGAGGCAAAGAAAGCATCAGGAATTGGCTCAGTGCAGTGTTACCCTGGGTGGGGCTCTGACTCCCAGGAGCAACCCCTACACAGCCCCAGCATTGGTGTGCATCACTGCAATGCTGGGACCTCTTGACCTGTCACCAGAAGCCCGCCCTTGTTCAGGGGCCTCGTTCCTACTGTTTTTTCACTTACTCTGGGTAAGTTGATCCTGTCCTGTCCCCTCAACTCCAGCCCTCTTTAAAAAACTATTCATTTTGTTCCTAAAACTCCATTCCTGACAGATACGTATAGATACATACAGACATACACCCAGAAATGTAGACCTGTGCCTACATATCCCCATACACACTGGCACCTATGCCTCCTACTCTGCTGGAAACACAAAGGCCCACACACATGCATGTAGGCATGGGTTCTGCTATACTGTTGCTGTTAGTTGTTGTCATGTAAATTCTGACTCATGGCAGCACTAAGTGTACAGAGTGTCATTGCTCCCTCAGGTGTTCAGCATGTAATCTTTTGAAAGGAGATCACCTACCTGTCTCCTGAGGCACCTGTGACTGGGTTTGAACTGTCAACCTCTCAGCTATGTTATGTACTTAGCAGTTTATACCACCCAGGCATTCCTTAGATTCAGGCATATAAAGATACAAAGTTTGATACAGACATACACAAGCCCACAGGCTTAGCTGTAAATACTCAGTGGTGTATGTATAACAGAAAGAAATACACACGAATTCACACAGATGTATTCACATTTTTGTGCATATTAATATATCCATATGTAGATTTACATATATACTAGCACACACATGTATACAAAGATTGACTAACATGAATACACCAGACACAAATACACAGAGAAATACTTGGACATTCTTCCTGAACACTGAGAAAAACTATTCCTTCAGGAAATGTCCATCACAGATGTACTCTCATTGTCACAAGCTCAGATTCTCACCCAGGGCTTGAACTGAGACTCCTGGTGTGGTGGTGTGGGATCAGCACCAGACTGCAAACCACAAGATTGATAGTTCAAACCCACCAACTGCTCATTGGAAACCTTATGCAGTATTGCTATGAATCGGAACCAACTCAACGCTACTTAACAACATCAAAGCATTTGAACTTTCTATGCCATCAACCCAGATCCTACTTGGAGGCTAACATCCCATCAAAAGGAAGGTATGAACAACAGCCATTTTCTCTTACAATATCCTCAGGGCCTGAGAAAGTGGGGTGAGAGGAAGAGGCAGGAACTAAGACCTCCCAGGAGTGGGATCCCCATCCCTCCCAGATGCCTTGACTTAGATCCTAAAAGCTTAGGGTGGGAGACAGCTTCCTCTTTAAAATATGGTCTCTCCATAGAGGTAGGCTGGGAATCAGGGAAGGGAAGATAGTCACCCTTTTGGGTTCACTGGGGCACACATCTCAAAACAAGCTGGTCTTTGAACTCTCACTGAGGTGCTGGGACCATGAGAGATGGGACCAGTATTGTAAGCCAGAAAGATAGAAGTTAGAGGAATAGGTTTACCCAACATAGGATTCTTTCACCTGCTTCCATATGGTGTCCCCAGGTGGGATCTCACTGCCCACCCCAATCCTGAATCTGCCTCATCACTTCCATTTTGGAAAGCCACACTCACCACAGTATCCAGTAATGACCCAAACACAGCCCAGGGCCAGCTTCCCAGCCCTCCTTGGCTGAGCTACCAGATCTAGAGGGAGGACTCCCAGCCAGGACTGAGAGGCCACCACCAGGGCTACATGCCCGCCTGCAGGGGGCATCACTGCTAAATGGCTCAGCACCACCCATGGCTCTGAAGTGACCCTACTTCACCACCATTCCAACCCACAGGAAGGTGTGCTTCCAGAAGTTTCCCAACCTGGGATTGGGGGACATGCCTCAAAGTGAACAATGAAGAAACAAGAGTCATTGAATGTTATGAAAGTCTGGATTTATTACCAGGAAAGGCTAGGGGAGCAGCACAGTGCCCAGGGTGGGACGGGGAAAGCCAGAAGAAATCCAAGGGAAGGTCTCAGCGCCACTGGTTCAGTAGGAGCAGATGAAAGGCAGACGATACATGCAGGAAATTACTTGCCACCAGCCCCCTAGTAGTAGAGAGCACAGGTTTGTCAGATGTTGGGTCTGGCCTGTGCCTCGCCCTTCTTCCCTCCTTGGGCCCCTCATCTGTCCCCTTCACCATCATTATCATCTGCCCCCCAGACATTTCCCACAGACCTCTACTAGCTAAGGGTTCCACCAGCTTGGCAGTATGTTGAATGTTTTCCATGGATGGTCATAGTAGTCCTCACAGTGACTCCAAGGGGAGCTGCCATCATCCCCATTTCACAGATGAGGAAGCTGAGGCTTCATAGAGATAAGTAAATTGCCTACATCTCACACCAGGACAGATGGTCTTAGCCACTCTGCTAAAAGTCCTAACATCTGGCACTTGTGTTGTTGCCCACATCTGTTCCAAGCTGTGTCCTGTCTGTCAGCTGCCCCATCTTCCCTTCATTCCCCATCCACATCTTCAATTCACATCTTCTGCTCCCATCTGTGACATCACTCACTCATGTTGTCACCCTCGTATCAGAGGATGAAGAACCCTTGTCCAGCCTCAAGGGGCTACCCCTATCTCAGCACCCCCATCCTAAGTGGGAACTTAGTTTCCCTGGTAGGGGGAGAGGATGAGTTGGGAGGAGGTGTGTCCAGGTAGCTCAGGGGTACAGTTTGTAAGCATCCAGCTTGCCAGTCTAACTCACCATTCCTGCACAGGCTCACACAGTGGCCACATGTATTCGAAGGTTGCCCCGGGCCCCAATGTACATAATTCCAGCAACTTCCGTCAGCCCAGCGAAACCTGAGACACTATAGAAATGATAGACTGCTTCAGAGGATGGAGACTGAGAAAGACAGACAGAGCCAGGGGCCCCATGAGTGCCCACAGTTGGCTCCTTTCCCTGCTTACTCATCCAGAAGACGGGTACCCAAGACAGCCACTTCTGAGGGTTAGTAAAGAATGACAATAAAAAACCAACCATCAAACCAAACAGGTGTCTCAAACTGGGCATACAAATCTACTGGGGATCTTGTTATAATGCAGATTCTGATTCCGAAAACTTAGGTGGGGGCCAAGATTCTACCCAAGATTTCTAACAAGCTACCAGGTGACACTGATACCACTGTTCCATGGATCAAACTGAGTAGCAAAGAGAAAGAGCCATTGTTCAGCCACAATCCCAGAAGTACCTTGAAAGAAGGTACCCATTTTAGAGATGAGAAAATGGAGGCTCTTAAAAAAACAAAACAAAACTAAGTGACCACTTTGGACCTGGAACCTATTTCCTGCCTCCAGTGATATGTTGGTGGTTTAACAATCAGCTCTATAAGAAGGTAAGAAGGCAAAGGATGGCGAACACACAGTGTTGATTTGTAGCTGTCATCAAATTTCCTTGGTGTAGATACTCCCACCGTGGTTAAGTCCAAGCTATAAACATAAAGTCACTGAACAGGAAGTTGGGAGGTGTTGCATACCGTCCCAAGCCAGGATAAACTTGCTCTAAACCATCACTGGCTGCTCTAAGGACCCATCAAAAGCTGCTCTGAGATTTGGCAAGAGCAAGTGCTCCCTTCAGTTGATCAGAAAGCTCCTGTACCCACAAGTTGGCATCTCACTTACTCGGTTTACCCACATGCCTCCAATCCACACATGGGAAAAGTTCATCCTACTGATTATATACTGAACATAAACGTTGAGGTTGCGGTTATGGATGGAGATGAGGTTGCCTCGGTAGCACCTCTGGCAAACAATCTGTGGAGAAAAGCAGACACTGTGGAAAGAGGTGGGACTAGAGAATCCCCTCTGGTTTGTCCTGACTCTCCAGGAGACAGAACACTTTCCTTTTCCAGGTGGAAATCAAGAAGCTACTGGCTGCCCTCAGTCTCACCACCTGCTCATTGATCAGTTATCAGGACTTACCCTGTTGGATATTAAAAATAACTCTCCTAATAATGATAACCACTATTTATTAGAGTTTACTATGAACCAAGAACTGTTCCAAATACTTTAACAATACTGTCTCATTTCATCCTCCTACAACACCAAGAGATTAGCATATCTCCATTTGACAAAAGAGGGTACTGAAGCTAGGAAAAGTAAATCAACTTGCCCATGTAGCACCCTCAGTAAAAGGCAAAGCCAGGCTTTAACACCTGTATATCTGACACCACAGCCTCTGGTCAGATCATTGTTTCTCAGTGTATAGTTCCTAGACAAATAATGTCATCTGAGAATTTATTATAAATACATACTCTCAGGCCCCACACTTGTTATTGTTGAGTGCTGTTGAGTCAATTCCAACTCATAGTATCTAAGGAGCAGCTGGTGAGCTTGAACCACTGACTTTGCAGTTCAAACCAACCTTGCAGTCCAGTGTAACATCAAGACTCAGACCCCATGCTAGACATACTGAATTAGAAACAGTGACAAATGGTTTAGCAAACTGTGTTTTACAAAGCTACCACGTGGTTCTGATGCTAGCTAGACTTGGACAACCAATCATCTAAAGGAAGAAGTGTAATGGCTCTGGACCCTAAGCACTGGATTAGTAACTACAAGATCAGTAGTCAAGCCCAGCAGATTCTCTGCAGGAGAAAGATGAGGCTTTCTGCTCCTAAAAAGATATTCAGCCTCAGATATCCTCTCCAGAGTCACTATGAGTCGGAACTGACTGGAAGGAGCTTAACACCAACCCTCTCAATGAAAGGGGTTTACTGATGCCATGGATTAAACAAGGGGCTGATAACCACAAGGTTGGCAGCTCAAATCCACCAGTCACTCTGTGGAAAACATATGGTGATACCTGCTCTTGTCTCAGCAATACTAACAAATAGTTCTACACTGTTCCATGCGGTTTCTATGAGTCAGAATGAACTCAATGGTGGTGAGTTGGTTTAATCTAAATAAATCGGCAGCTGAAGGTTAAATCTACCTTCTCCTCCTTCAGAAACTTCCCAGTAACCATACTGCTGTTTACCTGAGCATACTGAAATGTCTGGGGGCTGTGCACCAACAGGGCCCTGAAGGGCCTGCACCCAGGGTTGCCTGGCAACAGAACTGTCTCCTCTTCTTTGGGACACTGAAAATTCTCTAAGGCAGCTGGGTCTGACTCCGTGGTCTCCTCATCTTCAAGAGAATCTTCAGACCCGTCAGTCTCGCACTCCTCTCCCTCAGATGGAATCCCCTGCTCAGTGAGGGCCAGCTCTCCATCCTGCTCCCCTGAGCCTTCCAGATCCTGGCTCAGGTCAGTGACTGTCTCTAGGCTTTCCTGCTTGGGGCCATCAATCTCTGGGAAAACAGTTAACAGGTAACTTAGCACCAAGTGGAATACATGTATATTCCATGATCACAGAGATTTCCCAAGGCCCCAGGAGGGTGTCACTTGGAGTCAAGATAGAAGACTAATCCAGTGTTGGGCAAGGAGAGATCTCGTGGTTCATACCTACAAATGGATGAGAACCTGGCTTGTGTCTGATGCCATAAGTGTGTGTTTTGGGTGGAAGTGCCCGCGAGAAGCTGTGGAAAATCCCCTGTCCTTGAACAAACAGTTGTGGTCATAGCTCTGAGTTTAGGAGAATGTTTACCAGGAATGCACTGGATCAACTGCAAAGGGGATTGTGGTCATGCCAAGTGAAAAAAAAGTGGGCGAGGGGAGTAGGAAAGAAGAGAAAAGACAAGGAGGATGAGATGAGAAGGAACTAACTTACTCAGATGAAAAGGAGAAACTGTCCCCAGCAAGAGAACGAGCAGAAGCAGGAGGCGTTTCATGGCTACTTGTCTTGTGGCAGGGACACAGTTCCACCTTCCCTCCTTCGGGCTTGTCCTGGTGTGTCCAGCACAGTCCCTGGCACACAGTAAAAAGGCAACAAATGTTTAGTTAATTGATTGAAGAAAGGAAAATTAGCAGACTCCCAGCTAGAGAATCAGAGAAAGGACATAGGGGATGGGGGACATTCAGGGACAAAGCTTCCTTTATCCTGTGAACTTTATCCAGTTCTCCTCCCTTAAAAGCAAAGCGCCTGGACCATGCCCCTGAGGAACAGTTCATTTTTACATTCACTGGGACCCTCTGGTATTTGCCATCATGGATCTTCCTTCTCCTATACTCTGGACACCACCGCCCTGGGCAGCCTGGATGTACTCACCTCTCTTAGAGTCTGAGAACTCCACTCAGTGTCTCTGGCTGCTGGGCACAGGAGGCAGCCCTTATACTGGGCTTTGGGGGAAGTGGGAAGAGGTCAGTGTGATTGGCCCATGCTGAGGTAAGGCAGTGGATCTGATAACACGAAGTTTGCTCAGTCCCCACAGGCATGGATTGCAGGGACTTACCTCCTAGGACCTTTTGTCTTATGACATCTATACTTCCTAGTTTGCTCAAGAAGGCCTGGAGTGATAGCTTATTGTCTTGGCACAATTGGTACTTTTACCCCTAAAGTGCCCCAATCTGAACAATAATTCATCACTCCAGGAACCGTTTTCCACTCTCCTCATCCCAGGAAATGAAGTGGAGAATCACAAACGTAGCTGGAGGTCAGTGAGAGGAGAGGTAGGGGACAGAACAGAACCTCAGACCCCAGAGCCCTTGCATGGAACAGGTGCCTTAAACATCACAATCCTGAATTCTCTGCTTCACCTCATTCACACAAGGAATATAGAATTATCCCCAGTTCACAGATGAGAAAACTGAGACTCAGAGAAAAAGTGATTCACCAAGGTCAAACAGGAAGTGGGAGGACTGGGATTCCTAACTCATTTTTGCTTCCATGAGCTTCTCTCTCTTTGTCTGTCTCTCCATCTCTCATTCCTTCTTTCCCTCCTCCTCTTTTTTGTCTCTCTTTCTTACCCTTCCTCTGTGTTGTGGATCTACATCAAGATTTATATATTTGAAAACCCTTTGAGACATTTCTACTCTGTCTTCTGTGGTAGCTGGCTATGTGTCTGAATTGCCTCAATGGTAAGTGGTGCTTGGGGTTGGTTCTTCCTCCCAGTCTGTTGGGCAGTGCCTGAGATCTTAAAACTTTGCTAGCAGCCCATGCAAGACACAGTTGGTCTCTATTTGCCTGGAGCAGCAGAGGGAGGAGAGGGAGGAATGGAATGTGTAGCTAATTGCTTGAATGATCAAATGCCTCCTTTACACGAGAAGAATGCGATGGTGCCTGACTTCCATTACTGAACATTTGATCAGATATTCTATAGAAAAATCTCTAGTTAAAAGGGGTGAATATGCAATCAGATTTCCAAATTCTATGGAATCCAAACTTTCTGGAGCCATGGAGACTGGATGCATCCTCCAAATTGTTGCCCTGAGGTCATCTTCAATTCTTCAACTAAGAACATCCAGTAAACTTAAAATGAAACAGTCAACTTATTTATTAAAGAATGTTTGCCTTAAACATTGTGCTTTTTAGAAGAGCTATCTATAAGGGATAAAAATGCCTTGGTGACAATAGCAACTCAAAACATCAGGTAGGAAGCTTAGGGAGCCATGAGTCAGTGGGGAATGAACAACTACATAAAGGAGAGGGAGAATGGTTGTACAACTTGAAGAATGTGACCCATGCTACTGAATCACATATGCAGAAATATTGAATTCCTGTACATTTTGCTGTGAATACTTTCAACAACAAGAATAAAAGTCTCCAGTCCAATTCACTACAGTCCACAGGAAGACCAGCAACCACTGGGTCCTGACTTTCCCAGATCTCTGTGCCAGGAGCCAGTGAGTTGTCAGGGTGGAGAGTCAATTCTGTCACATACTTGTTGAGCAGTGACTATTTCTTCTCCATCTTTCAGCTCAGCCCTCCTGAGCTCAGGGCACCAGGGACAGGGAGCCCAGAAGGTGAGAAGACCTGGATTCCTTTCTCTTCTCTCCTCTCTGCAGGGACCTTCAAATGGAGAAGTGCCTGAAAGGCCATTCTGGGCCTATTGCAGAGCAACCAACGGCTGTCACCGTTATCTCTGCGCCAACGGACCAGACCCTCAGCTTATCTACCTGACTGTGGGGATATTGCCAATTCCAGGGCCCCAAACCTGGTTTCCCAACTTCAAGCTTCAGGGTGGAGGGCTAGTCACAGTGGAGGGCTAGCTAGACCCCTTCCCCTTAATCTTCCCCATCTAGGGACCCATTTAATTGGTGGTTAGGATGACCAATAAAGTCAAGAGCCTGTGCCACCATAAGTTTTATACATAGTGCCTTATTTGAATGTTCCAATTTTACAGGTGAGAAAATGTCATCTCAGAATTTAGAGAACTTGCCCTAGATCACAGAAAGTCAGAGATAGGCCTAAACCCAAGTCTTCTGACTTCTTGTTTAACCCATGGCTGCTTTCCTCCACCCACTCACATTGGCCTCCTTCCCCTGTATGCTCTCTCCTTCAGGCTGATCATGATTTCTTTGCACATAAACCCGTCCCTTGGTACAGCCATTCCAATGTATTCAGACATCCCATTCAATGACCGCAGTGATGGTGGTCTGATATAAAATTGGAACCATTTTTGAAGGTCTACCGTGGATGACTCAGCAGTGCTTGAAAGCAGCAACAACAGCCATGGAGCTTATATTTATGCTTCATGAGACTTTTACATCCATTATCTACAATGAGACATTGCCCTCTCTAGTCTATGTATTTACTACCAAAGCGGAGAGAGGAAAAATAACTTGCCTGACTTCACACAACTAGTAAGTCATGGCAAGTAAGTAAACCAAAGTCTATTCAACTTCCAAGTCTTAGCTTTCTCTAATACACCCCAATGTTCTACCTCCAGAAAGTCTACCCAACAGCATCCATGGAACCTTCTTATCACTGTGAAACTCTAAGTGCCTGGTTTGTTGTTTGCATTTATGTTCCTCTAGGGTTTTTTTAAAGGTTTTTATTGTGGATTGAGTGAAAGTTTACAGGGCGCATCATCAGTTTCACATTCAACCATTCATATGACTTGTTTCATTACATTGATTACAATCCCTTCCATACATCATCAGTCAACAGTGTATCTCTCTATCCTCTTTGGCTTTTCTCCTTTTTTTGGGGTGGGGGGGTGCGAAACTTTGCCTTTTTGGAATTTACAGCCTCGGCTTTTAGGGAAGGTTTTTACTTTTATCTGTGGATATCCAGGGCTCATATATGCGATTACTAACAAG